CAGAAAAGGGGGAGGGGAAGGGGGTTTTGAAATAAATAGGGAGAGAGGGGGAGGCGGATAGAAGAGGGATAGAGGAGAGGATAGGTGGAGAGGAAACAAACAGGTCGAAGAGGCGGGGATGGGGCCAGGAAAGGTTAGTGTAGGTAAGGAGTTAGGAAGGGGATAGGTCAGTCCAGGGAGGACGGACAGGTCAAGGGGGCGGGATGAGGTTGGTCGGTAGGAGATGGAGGTGCGGCTTGAGGTGGGAGGAGGGGATAGGTGGGAGGAAGAACAGGTTAGGGAGGCAGGGACGAGTTGGACTGGTTTTGGGATGCGGTGGGGGGAGGGGAGATTTTGAAACTTGTGAAATCCACATTGATACCATTGGGCTGCAGGGTTCCCAAGCGGAATATGAGTTGCTGTTTCTGCAACCTTCGGGTGGCATCGTTGTGGCACTGCAGGAGGCCCAGGATGGACATGTCTAAAGACTAATGCAGCTTGGTGGACAAATTATCACCACGCTGAAGAATGGACAGGAAGCTCCGCCTATTCATTCCAAACACACTGCCCCTCAACAAAGACGGCGGCTGCGCATGCGCCCTCAATAAAGATAGCTCGGTTCGGGGCCTAAATTGGAGCGAAAGCCTCTAGTTAACAATTCGCCTCACTCCGTATAAACAGGGAACTGAAACCTTCTTTGTCAGGCTCGCGCCTTTGCACAAGGTGTTCACGAAGTGTCCCCGTCCCCAAACGGATCCGTCTCTCCCCTCAGCCCCGCCTCATTCTCACCATTTTCTGAGCGAAAACAAAAGAAACATCCCTCAACCGCGATTAACGATTCCACGCATGCTCCGTACAAGCCCGGCACTGCGCCTGCGCACTGCTCTCGTTTGCGGCTCAAGGGCTGTTCACCGCGGGGAATGCTGGGGCTTCAGTTCACAATGGCAAAGGGACTGCTGCCCGTTCTTGACAACATTAGCAACAGCGTGCATCCATATAACATTCTTAACATTACAAAAACTTGCGTGCGACACTTCACAACAGCGTTAACATTTACCATCTTAAACAGTCCGTGCTTGTCTCCCCAGTCTGGAACACTCTGCTATAGTTTCCGATGCATTGCAAACTGGGGATGATTTTACCAGCAGAACTCAGCGAATCCGTTTAATTGTTCACCCGTTTGCATGACATCCTTCCTAACGTCTGTCGCTCCGTATGAGTCAATCTGAGCCAAACCTCCTCCAAAGCAAAATAAAAACCGAAAGAACTGCGGATGCCGTAAATCAGAAACAGAAATTACTGGAAGATCTCAGCAAGTCTGGCAGCATCTTCACGGAAGCTCCCAGACCTGCTGAGCTTTTCCAGTAATTTCTGCAAATACTCCTCCAAAGCAGCTGACCATTGTCACTGTACGCATTTTTTTGTTCATTTGAGGTCATTACCATCACTGGCAAGTTTCCGTTTTCCATTGCTGCCAGCAGGCTCGAGCGTCTTGGACCGCTCGGCCAGACTACTTGACAGTTCATGCCATATTATTGTTTTCACTGGTTGATCGTCAACGGAGCAGTAATTACCTCGAGCCTGCTCTGCTAGTAATAAATCCTTGATGTGGATGTGCCGATGATGGACTGGGGTGGACAAAGTCAGAAGTCCCACGACACCTGGTTACAGTCCAATAGGTTTATTTGAAATCACAAGCTTTCAAGCGCTGCTCCTTCATCAGGTGATTTCAAATAAACCTGTTGGGCTATAATCTGGTGGCTTGTGATTGGTGAATTAGTAATAAATCCCTCACAGATAGCCAATCTAAACTATAGTTACACCTCGAATCTCTGAGGAAACAGTGACAAGACAGACGCTGCAAGGTGAGCGGGAAAAGGAAGGGCAATGAGACCGGTTGAGTTGTTGCTACCGCGTGCCAACTCAGATACGATGTGTCGAACAGTCACCGGCCTTATTGTACCTACTGCAATTTACTGGCGCAATTGAGACGGAGTTCCGTGAGTGGTGAAGGTGATAGATTGTATCAGGCGGGGTTTCGCGATTGAAAGTCAAAGAAAGTTTCACTCACTCGGGAATTCCATCAATGCTGCTCGGACATTTAGTGAGCAGGATAAAATCTCCCTGAGCTTGGGTCAGTGCATTGGGAGGCTTGGCCGAGGTCGGAGGATCTTGCGTCCCAGGGATGAGCAGGAAACCGCTGATTAAAGCTGCAGTGGCCGCTTTCTGCTGGCAATGGGGTATTGGAGAGTGCGGGGTCAAATCCTGCTGCTTGTCCTTGTCTCACTCACTGTGAAGCCGGGGAAGAGAGAATCATTAGACAAAAAGTGTTCTGATGAAGGGTCACCGGACCCGAAACGTTAAATCTGATTTCTCTCCACAAATTCTGTCAGACCTGCTGAGATTTCCAGCAATTTCTGCTGTTATTGTTGAAGAGAAAATCATTGATGGGTTTGTTTGAATCCAATTTCTTCCTGGATTTCTATGTTGTATGTAGGTAATGTACACTGTCGGTCTAATTGTTTGAGGATTATACTATATTGAAAACAATTGCATTAAAACCTGCTTCTGGAGCGTCACTGGATAACGGTGGAGCTCCCAACAAAGTTTGTGAGATGTTTTCTTCAGACGCAATCCCCATTGACAATGTGGGACTGTAAAACAGAACGTTGATGGTGACTAAAACAGTAGGGATTCTGTACCTGGGTGGTCCCGAACCACCGACCTTTCGGCAAGTAATTGGCACCACGCAGACTGCCAGCATCAAACCATGCAAAATCCCTAAAGCAGAGTATTAGCTGTGATCTGACAAGACATTGTACAGCTGGTGTTTTCACTACCAGTCGCTGTTTTGGCACTTTTTGACCGAGAGCGACGGAGGCCTGTTGAGCGACACATACCCAGAAGAAAGTTAAACACCGCTAATTTCAAATTGCCCAGGCTTGGAGGCAACTGCCTGGGGAGCATTACCTGTAACTTTGGCAGTGTGGATTCGATATGATAGAGAGTTCAACTTAAATTCAGCGCCTCAGACAGCTCAGCCACACCACCACATCAAAATTATCCGCAAAAATTATCTTGATTGGTGTTGGCATTGAATTACAGTTTTAAAAAAATCTGTGCAGCAGTGAAACCTGACGAATCATTGAGCCTATCTCTCCAATTCTTCCTTTGGATGTTGACCAATTGACCGCGAGAAGATGTTTTAGTACAACTGGACCAATACTGACTGGAGGAAGCGTTCAGTCAACATTTCAATCAGACTCCACTTTGTAACAAATAGGCACGGGGCAGCTAAACAGTCTCCACTGAAAGAAATACAAAATTACATTTCCTCCTCCATCTTTCAAAACTACTTTCTCTTTCTTTCAGCATTTTAATATGAAATCGCACAACTCGTGAGAAAATCTTGGATTTGTAAAGATCTGGAACTGAAAGTCACTGGGACCCTCAGAGGGACTCACACAGATATAACCACTGAGAGTGACGGAGGCCTGAGGAGAGGCAAACACCCAGAAAGCAAGGAATGCTACTGACCTGGCAATGATTACACTATTTTGGGGGAGTAACATTCATTAATGCTTCCAATTGAAGTGACTTGTAATAGTTTAAAAAGATTGTTGTGTGGATCCATTGGAAAAGCAGGCAGAAGAATCTTACCGCACTTCAAGCTCCGTCTCTTTATATGATTGTATTTAGCAATTGATAGTTTGGTAATCAGCCAGGTTGCATTTATCCTGATTTCTGTGTATGGGACATACCTGGGCAATTTTCCACATTATTAGCAGATGCTAATGGTGTAACTGTACCAGAGGAACTTGGGGGTGGCACGGTGGCTAGCACTGCTGCCTCATAGTGCCAGGGACCTGGGTTCAATTCCAGCCTTGGTCAACTGTCTGCGTGGAGTGTGCACGTTCTCCCCATGTCTGCTTGGGTTTCCTCCAGATGCTCCAGTTTCCTCCCACAGTCCAAAGATGTGCAGGTTAGGTGGATTGGTTATGCTAAATTGCCCATAGCATTCAGGGAGTTGTAGATTAGGGGGATGGGTCTGGGTGGGATGCTCCGAGGGTTGGTGTGGACATGTTGGGCCAAAGGGCCTGTTTCCACACTGTAGGGATTCGATGAACTTGGCTAGGGGAGTGGCAAGTTCTGGATCACAAGTGTATAGTACTGTTGCTGAAATGTTTTGGAGGACCACAGCCTTAGCAGTATCCAGTGTCTCCAACCATTTCTGAATATCATCTGGAGTGAATCAAATTGGCGGAAGACTGGTATCTGTGATGCTGGGAACCACTGACTGAGGTCAAGGTGGATCATCCATTTGAAACTTCTGAGTGAATATTGCTGCAAATGCTTCAGCCTCATGTTTTGCTCTGTGTTGGCCTCTTCTTACTTATGAGGATATCCTCATTGAGGAAAGGATATTTGTGAAGCCTCCTTCTCCAGAGGTTGCTTAATTGTCCACCTCCATTCACAGCTGGACGTAGCAGGACAGCACAGCTTAGGTCTGTGATTGCAGGATTGTTTTGCTCTATTTATCACTTGCTGCTTATGCTGTTTTGACATGCAAGTAGCCTGGTTTGGTAGCTTCATTGACACCTCATTTTTAGGTATGACTGGTGCAGCATCTGGCATGCCTTTCTGCACTATCCATTGAACCAGGGTTGATCTCCTTGCTGGATGTTAATAGTTGAGTGGGGAGTATGCCAGGCAATAAGGTTGCAGATTGTGTTGGAACACAATTCTGCTGCTGCTCATGACACACAGAGTCTCATGGATACCGAATTTTAAGTTGCTAGATCTGTTTGAAGAAGAGTCTAGGCCCGAAACGTTAGCTTTCCTGCTCCTCTGATGCTGCTTAGCCTGCTGTGTTCATCCAGCTCTACACATTGTTATCTCAGATTCTCCAGCATCTGCAGTTCCTACTATCTCTGTTTGAAGTCTGTTCTGTTTAGCAGGATGATAGTGCCACACAACAAATGGAGCTTATTCTCAACATGAGGACAGGAATTCATCTCCACTAGGACCATCCGGTGGTCACTCTTACTGATACTGTCTTGGGCCGGTACATCTGCAGTCAGCTGATTGGTAAGGATGATGTCAAGAATGTTTTTTCCCTTACCACCTATTGCAGACCCATTCCTTTAGAACCCAACCAGCTCAATCTAGTGTTGCTACCAAGCTACTCATTGTGGTGGACCTTGAAATCCCCCAATTATATTATATTTTGCACCCTTGCCACCCTCAGTGCTTCCTCCAAATATTGTTCAACATGGAAAATTACAGATTCATCAGCCAAGGGAGAACAGTATGTGGTAACCAGCAGATTTCCTTGCCCATGTTTAACCTGAAGCTATGAGAATTCATGATGCCCAGAATCAATCTTGAGGACTCCCAGGGCAACTCCTCACTGACTGTATATCATTGTGCCACCACCCGTCTGAGTTGCAAATGAGACAGGAAATATCCAAGGATGCGACATTATATGTAAAGTATAATTCAGTGAGTATGACTATGCCAAACTGTTGATTGATTGATTGTCACAAGTACCAAAATACAGTGAAAAGCTTTGTTTGTGAGCGGTACAGTCAAATCATAGTAAGAAAAGAATGTACAGGTCAAAAAGGCATAGACAGAGGCATATAGGTTACATTGTACAGGGCGTGCACTAGGCAAGATCGCTAGCAAAATCAGCTTTATTTGAGGCTAGAGAGTCCATTCATCAATCTAATAATGGCTGGGAAGAAGCTATTTCTGAACCTGCTCATGCGTGTGTTCAGGCTTCTGTATCTTCTGCCTGATGGAAGTGGTTGTAGGAGATCATTACCGGGTGTGATGGGTCTTTGATGATGTTGGCAGCCTTTCTG